GGTGATAAGTAGCTTATCGGGGCGTGGTTTAAATAGACATTAGTTGATGAGGGATTCGGGGTCCAGCTGTTTGCCCTTTTCTCTCGATCCCTTCGCTTCACGAGCAATCTGCCGTTCGCGTTCATTACAAGGGAGCATTTCTACTTTCACTTTATTTTTCCCCCTCCCTGTTTTCTGGTGCTTTGTGTTTCGCATGTCCTTTTTCTTCTTTTTCGTTTGTCGTCTTTGCTTTATTTCAGTTGGGAAGTGTGTTTTGTTTCTTTTTCATTTGTCGCATTTCCTTTATTTAAGTTTGGGAAGTGTGTTTTCTTTTTCTTTTGCAACTTTGTTCTTTTATTTCCGAAACAAAATAACAAAAAAAATAAAAATAAAAAAAATAAAAAACAAACAAGCACACCATTAATACATTAGAATCACTTTTTCACAGTGCTCGGTGTCTCGACCATAGGAGCTTTGAGTTTGGCCCTATGGTTGTCCTCTTCTGGGTTTTCACGCACAGCCTCTTGGGGCTCATCACTCGAGCTCCCAAAAATCGCACTCTTAGCTTGAGCGTAATTTCTCTCGCGATCTTGTTGCCTGCGTTTACTCGGTCGGTCTAGGTCCTCCAGCTGCTTTCTCATGTCCTGAGAGTAAAAACTTACCATCTTTGATAGGTTTTTATTCTCCTCCCGCAACGTTTCCAGCTAATGTCGATTCACCTCTACTATCCTTGCCTTCTCCCTTTTCAGGCTTTTTATAATACTTTGACATTCCTCAACCAAACTCCCCTCCGCCGCCAACTGACCTCTTAGTACCTTCACCTCATGGGACTTTGCAAGTAAGCGATGCCCCACACTTGCCACTGTTGCCGTACTTTGCACGCTTAGTGCTAGGGCATCGCTCACGACCCGGTTGTCATCCCTAATAGAGGTCACCACGATTCCAACGAACTACCAGAAAAACAAAACGCGTTATATTTCCATTAAGTTCCGGGTCGTTGTGTGCGAATAGATTTGAATTCTATTTGGGATCGTAAAAATCCTATCAGGTCTCGAATCTTAACGAGGAGATTTCAAGGGAAAATCAAGGATGAATGTGGAGATCATCAATTTGAGATCATCAAATTTTAAAAATTGATGATTGACAACAAACGAGAGATTCTATTGTTATTTTCATCTTCGAATTCAAGCGATAAGTAATATTTATTTTAAATTGATAAATATATTAGATAACACTATTCCCTTTACACATGTTACGTAGAGTCACTCTTCATTGCAACATGGCTACATCATAACTCCTTCAACACTCCTCATTCCTCCTCCTTCACAGTCGTCTTCCTTTTTTGACTCTCTCTTGTTTTTGGGTGAGTCATCGACTAAAAGGAAAAAGTTCTCTATTGTTTCTCTTATATGTTGAGAAATTTGGAGAACTAACCTTTTCTCTATAACACCTTCAGGACTTTTAACCAAAATTTTTCAAGATTTAGAAATATAGTCAGGGGCGGAGCCACATTGGGACCAGTGTGGTCACAGGCCCCCACTCAATTTTTTAATATTTTAAAAGTAATATACTGTTATGTATTTGTACATGTATATTATTTCAAATACTTTACGTTTTGATATGTACCCACATGTGTTGTGGAGGACCTATTAAGGCACAAGGAGGTGCTTCAAATTTCTCATGTACTCAACTGGTAGTGGTGCACTCCAAGTGTACAAATTACCTTATTTCCATTTTCAACATTTAAATAAGGAACCTTTATTTGGATTCAAATAAAAATACTAGAAAATCAAATTCCCACCAAATCAAAATATGAAAAATCGGTTTTAGTGCAAAATACGATTTAGGCTAAAAATGATGGCTCATTAAGTTAATATATACTTCATACTAAAATCCCATAAAATCAAGTTTTCTTATTTGATGTGTAAGGAATAAAAGCCACCAAAAATTATCTTGAGAAAATGATTATTCCGACAAACTATTTTTCATACTTGGTCAATATTTTTACATAAAATATTTTTTCATGTATGATATGAATGCATGAAGGGACTTAAGGTTTTTTTTTAGTTTGTGAAATTTTAATTTTTTCTTTCTATTGGGTTTAATGGGGGGAAAAGCTTTAATGATATTTGCTAAATCGCTACTATTTGTCTATCTCTTGCAATTTTTCTTACTCAGAATGTGTTTTTCTATCCCTTTGTTGAGGACAATTATGGTTGCAACCAATAAGGAATATATTTCTTGACATATGTGATATATATACATACTATTTTTCGTATGTATTGTGAGTTCGAATTTTTGATTCTTTATAATTTGTAAGAGGCCCCCACACACATGAAATCCTGGCTTCGCCACTGAATATAGTTACTCGAGGCATGCTTCCTTGAACCTTCTCGAGGGCTTTCGATTGCTCGAAGCCCTAAAAATAAGAAGGTTTGAAGTTCCCACTCAAGTTGTTAAAAATCTGAAATATTGGACAAAACCTCTTGCAACATTAGAGCAACTCCAGCGTAGGAGCCCTGCCTGGGCAAAAGGCTCCTCGACAGCCCATTTCCCCCTCCAGCGCAGGAAATCCAGCTCGGGCAAGAGCTGGGTCCCACGAGCCCAGGCAAGCCCACAGGCAAATTCAGCCCGAGCTGCTGCCTGGGCAGGATGATGCAATGCTGACGTCATAATGATGTCAACAACCAAAAAAATTTGAAAAAAAAAGGAAAAAAATAACCAAAAATTCAAGAATTTTTTTTAATAAATACCTAGGCTTATTCTTTACTTCCCACACCAAAAATTCTATACAAATTCATCTATTCATATCTCATGTGAATAGTATTTACCCTTGCCCTAGCCTTCCAAGGGTGGAACCAACTAAGGCAAGGCTGCCACTATTCACATGAATAGTGGCAGCCCTTGCCTTGCATTAGCCTTCATGGGTGGACATGCTCTTAAATCAGGTACATTCCAAAATTTCCCTATTATGTTGTCTATTTCCCAAAAAACAGAAACATTTTATTGTCCACATCAGCTGGTAAGAATTAACCCAACATTACCCCAAAAACGTTTGCTCGTCTCTTAACCAACGGACTTGGCACAAACCACCACCTTTGATTGAACATGGCATTATTGGTCCGATATAGAGATCGTCATCGGGCCGGCCCAAAATGTTTGGGTTTGGGCTGGGCCTTCATGAACCTTTTTTGTGCTAGGTTGGGCCGAAGTTTCAAAGGTTTCAAAATTTAACTAAGTATGAAAAATGAACTTTTGAACTACTAATGTTTTCAATTATATTTTTGGCGTTTATATTTCTTACATCTTGAATAATTAAACACGATGTTATGAGATTCTAGTATAAAGTATACATTGACTTATTGAGGTATCAATATTGGTATAAATTGTATCATATACTAAAAAATGGATTTTCATATTTTGATTTGTTCGGAATTTGATTTTCTAGTATTTTTAATTGAATCCTAATGGGGGTAATTCCATATTTACATTGTAAATTTAAGTAAATGGAGTAATATAAATAAAAAAGAAGAAGTAAAAAGACAAGATATTTACTTCAATATTTGGAATGGAAATAAGGCAATATAAGGCAATGGGCATGCCGGACCGGACCAAAAGTTTCAAATCCTAAGCCTAAGTTCTACCCAGCCTTAGAATGGGTTGAGTTGAGTGGGTCTAACCATCGGATCGGGCCAAACTTTGGCCCATCAAGCCTTGGACTACCCACTTTGGCCTACGGGCCACGGGCTAAATTATGATCCCTCCGATGAGTGTTATGGACCGAAATAGCCCAGGGCCAACATGGTCATTTCACATTTTTCCTTGTGCAAGTAGGAAATCCTAATTCAAACGGTACAAATAAACGCGAACCGACTCTGCCTCTACGTGTGTGAGTGCGTCTATATAAAGCAAACGGCACCTGCAACTTCTTCTCATCGCTCATCGATCGTTGTTTATCAACTAATTTATTATTATTATTAAGAAGACAAATTATAAAAACAAATATTAATATCGGGTATTGATTGTTAAAAATGGCAACAGCAGCAGCAGGAGCAAGCGCAAGCTGCCGCAGCAAGAGCAGAGAGAAGCCATTGATGATCCCAAATTCAATTAATTTCTTCTAAGAGTTGGGAAGTGAACGCAATAGAGCTTCGCGTACAACTGAGCGGATCATCGTGCTGCAATGGCGGCAGCACAGAAGAAGAAAGCGATGTCAAAAGCAGAAGCAGCTCCTCCTACATTCTTCGCTGAAGACGAAGATGAAGTGAGTTTCGGACCGAGGAAGAAAGGGTTTCGGTCAATTTCGGAACTGTATAAGTTGACAGAGCCTGTTAATCTTGTTATTGTTGCAGCAAAGGAAAATAAGAGAACGAGGAAGAGGAGCATCTGCTCAATTTAACTTCCTGTTGTTGTTAGACTAATTAATTATTATTGTAATTAACCTCAGCTGTTAAGTTAAAGCTCCGGGGCATTGTAGTGATATGTTATCCAGTTAAAAACATGCCACGTGGCAGGCTCGTAATTACCAAACCGTGTTGAATCAAAAATAGGCTGTGAATTCTGCCAATTGCTGCAATTTTGTTAAACTTTACATAAATTGTAATGCTCACATCGCAATTTCCTCCTCAAAGAGTTCCAACTTCTTTTACGACCTAACATCGTGCAAGTTAGCCATTCGGTACCAATCCCAGGTATCCAAGTAATCGGTCTCCGTCGTGCAAAATCAAATATAACATGTCTAAAAAAGTAGTAAATTTGATGGCAGGTGAAAGCATACTACACGAAAACAAGGCAATTAGAAGAACATATCTTTACTTGCCAAAACGGGTTTCCTCCCCTCTAGCGTACAATAAGACTTGAACTCGTAAGAGATGCATGCAATCAGGGTTTGGATACACAAAGATAACATGACGATGTTCTCAACTTGTTTGTGCAATTTACTTTTTCAGGAACCGAAGTGTCTTGCGTAAATACAAAATCTGAGATCCTGTTTACTCTTCTAAATCATGATCTAAGTATGCAGCTGATTAAAGAGACAATTCACAGCTTCAGGTTCTTGAAAGCTCCTTCAATGCTCTAGATGGAATACATATTCTGTCAAGTTCTGCAATTTTCTGGCATCCAGTTTCTGCTTTGTAACAATGGGCTGCTTCTTCACAGTAAGCATTTGAGAAGCAGGGTCCACGGCCCAACCTTGCTGTTGTACAACTGCATATGACAACCAAATCTCAAGAATTTGCAACATAAACGATAACATGCCTAAAAGCATATGTATGCAATTAATGGAAAAAATCATAAAATATTATTATCTTTTATATTAAGGAAATAAGTCAATTATTTATGATAAGCAGTGTCATCGAAGACTTGGCAACCTTTAAAGCAAAATGAACTGTTTTAAAAGGGAATATAAGAAAAAGCAATGAAAAACTGTAGTTAATCAAGGTTCCTAAAGTTCTTCTCCCAGATTTTACATCCAAATTCTCCAAAATGTAGGCAGGTACGCCTTTCTTCTTATATTTTAATTTGATCAACAGTATGTACAGAACACCCAAATCCCCCATAACATAGACATTTACTTGCCACTCTAATATGACAGCTCAGGCTCATTCAAGACAATATGATTAGGTATGAACACAATTACACCAAAGCCAACTCTGCCACTGCGTTTAATCTTTTTCCAATCATCCATGAGGCTTCTTAGTGACTTTTCAACTGGTTTATCATTCTTGATATATATATTCCTATGTTTGTAAATCTCAAAAATAACCCCTCCTAAAGCAGCGGAACCTTTTTACAGAGAATCTACTTATTCAGGACGAATATACTTCAAAAAGGTCATACCTCCAACTGTTACATGGTTAATTTCCCAATGACATATCTACTATCTTTTCTCATAGACAAAAACGATTTTGGTTTTTGATTTTTTTGGCAATTCCGTATGTTCTTAATGTGCAGCAACGAAATAGGGTTACTATCTGGACAAAGCATTAAGATGTTTGTTTTTCATTTTTTCAGAAAATAAACTTAAACCCGGGAGCAATTTGGAACATATACATTTGTGAAAACAGAAGCTTACAAGTTGTGGCATCATCCTCGCTCATTCCAAGGAAGAGAGCTGTGTCTTGAATGCTTATTGTAGAATAGGCAGACTGCAGGAGCTGAAACATATTCTTTGTGTAAAGATCTGCAAGAAGTTCAGAAGACAATTAATTATGGCATGAATTGCATAAAACATAAGAATTAGTACTCTACAAGCTCCCTTAATCACCAGAAAAATAATGAAACAGAGTTATTTGAGTGTTGATCCCCTCATCAACAATTATCACAAAACTATAGAGATGTTTATATTTTCAATTCAGCTAAATATTCAATTGTAGATTACGTTATGCAAGTCATCCGCATAGAACTTATAAGCACGACATGATATATTGAACTGGACAATTGTGTCCGGATTGGAAAGTACTTAGACATCTTTCAACACTGAAACGAGAGTAAATATCGTCGCTCAGATGGCTAGAACAGCTAAATCATCATCCCAAAGACATAATTAAAAATACTGAAGAGAGCATGAAGGTCTTCGTCTTGGAAGACAGCATTATATTAAGCATCAACAATGTTGTGCTTTGGAAAGAACCTTACAGAAGGAACTAGAACAGGCAACAATGATATCAACTAACTAATTCTAGTAACATTGATGACATGAAAGGCTTGGCATATGACAATTCAATTAACGAAGTGTTAGATAATGGATAAAAGGAACTAAATAATGTTAGAGAGTTGAACAATATCACTCTTTTGACTTGAGTGGATATATTTTTCATAAATCTAAAAACCATATTATCATAAATGTACAAAACATAGACAATACTGTTTTGTGATCTAGAAAAACTTGCCTGAAAAGGCTGCAACAAGACCTTGAGCTTCCTGACTCCAGTCATATCCACGAATAGCTTCATACACACCCCCATAGTCTCGCACCCACAACTTCTGGCCAATTTTCCAAGCAGCAATGACTTCTGGATTGCCCTCTTTGACTGTGGCAGGCATTGATTTCCAAAGAAACCGCATACTATTACTGCATATTCACCACCCGACAGATCAAATTCTAAAAAAATGTAGAACAAAAATAACAAAATCAGATTTAAGTTTAACACAGGATGCCCCAAATAGCCAAACAACATTAACAATAAAATGCAAAATTGCAATACAACATGCAATCAAAACCCAGAATGGCAAAGCAATATTTTACTCTTCAAACCATCATCAGAAAAGAAAAAAAAAGCAGATTAAGCTAAAATAGAGGTATAGGGTTTGGGAGCAAGAAGAATTAAAAAAGAGTAAATCCTAATATTTTAAAAAAAACAAAAAAAAAAACATACATATCACCAGCGTAAATGTGACCGAGAAGATGAATGGCGTAGGGCCAGTCGTCCTGAAAAGCAACGCCCTTGGCTGCGACCTGTACGATCACAGAGAGAGAGAGAGAGAGAGAGAGAGAGAGAGAGAGAGAGAGCAGCGAATGAGAATACAAACAGAAAATTTTGAACTTTTTCTTTATGGATTGAAACCCAAATCAAACCTGAAGCATCTGTTCGTCACAGATATCGGCGACCTTTTCATACGATTTGGAGGTCAAGGCCTCTGATAGTAGAGAGAAATCCATGGCTGCTCTCTTTTCTTTGCTCTGTATTTTGTTAGAGTGTCTTTTTTTTGTTTTTGGATCAAATGTTAAGGGCTGTTTGGTACTATTCAAGTAGAAAACTCCAAAGATTTTTCTTTGAAACAAGAGTTCTCTAATTCATTTTTTAAAATTCAAAAAGTTATTTGATATGCAACTTGAAAACTGTTTTTAAATTTTTAAAACTTGAAAACTTATTTAGTTGAATTCTTGAAAATATTTTTTTTCCTTTATTTTTTGTAATTAAAATATTTTGATAAACATTATCAAAATTATATTAAACATATTATTTTAACATCCGCATTTTAATACCATTAATATATGATTTATAAGTTCAATTCGTCTTCAAGTCTTAAATAATATATATTAAATTAAAACATTCTAGATTAAATAAATCCTAAGACTAATGATTCTGAATATAATCCATCCGCATTGCTCCTACTTCTCACTTTGTCACTTGAGAGTATGTACTGTTTCCTACTTCTCTCCCAGTCATTTCATTGTCTTTTTTTGTAATAAGAAACATAATTTCATTAAGAAGAGAACATAACAATAGAAGGGGCAAGTTGTCCACTGATCTAGCTAAACAACTCAACAAAGATACATGGCACCAGACGAATAGAACTAGTAGTTGACAGCAGAATTCCAATCATACAATATAGCCTCAAAGGAACCATCCCTAAATTCTGAAGATACCAACGGCCAAAGGAGGGAGATGAGATTTGTATATTTACTATACAATTGTTCACCTTTTTTTAGCTGACATAAAATTGATTTTCCTACGCATGTATATATATATATGACATGCAATTATATCATATCTCCACATCGCATAGCACGAGCCTAAGCCTTAAGTAATTACCATCTAGATCTTTTGATGCATGTCAAAGCACCAGATGACCTTGTCAATGAGCGGACAGATTTGGCATTAACAACTGGGAAAGTTTGTTCTCCGTTATAGTTTGGCTTTGCTCTTCCGGCACCTGTTTCAACGAAAGAAGCCCCATTTTCGAAGATATCTCCTACGGAGTAAAACTTCCAGGATCCTTTGCTTCCAATGGTGTCCTTCCTCCAAGTGATCTGTGCGTACATGGAAAATCATTAATTAATTCATTAAGGGCATTGCATTTGAACTTGAATATATATATATATATATATATATACACACACATTTGAGTTAATAATTATAGTAAATTGAGCTTAGACCCATAAAATTCATTTGTAATCACCTACAACCCTTTCCTTTATTTTTCTATTTAAAATACCCAATTTTTTCAAGTAAAACCCGCTAACTAGGATCCAAGTAAGCAAGTTACCTAATCTAGCTTAAAATCTGATTTATTCTATTTTTAATGCGTTTTGTATGTGAGAATGTGAAGGTAAAAATATCCCACACTTATAAGGAGTTGGTTGCTTCCCCATTGCCAATTAGTTTTGAGATGGAACCTCAACTTCCTGTACATATATTACGTAGATGCTTTGCTAATAGTAATAGCTAGAGGCCTTTACCTTGGCATTCTTTGGTTGCAGTTGGGTCCAAAATGGTTGTACACAACGGTCACCCTCATGTTCTTGTCCCGAAAGTAGCCATCATCATGGCCGAGAAGCATAACCTTGTCCTGGTCTCTGAACCAATTGTTGGAGATGGTGATATGGGTAGATCCGCGAGTAACATCGAGAAGACCATCCTGGCACTCGTAGAGTGTATTATGGTCTATCCAAACCTTTGATGCAGTTACCAACCTGATTGCATCTCCATCAACCTGCCCTATTGGTATTATCTTTCCTTCTGGACCCATAACTGAGCTTGGTGGTTGGGGTCGGCAATGATGGATTCGAAGGCCATGGATAATTATATTGCTTGCCTGATAACGTTTAAAATAATAATATAATTCGTTTACATGCGTGAAAATGTACACAAGATATCTTTATGTATTCAATTGCCAAAAAATGAGACTCTCATGTGTGTTACAAATTTACTTATAATGCATGTATTTATCTATTAAAACTATTCCCTAGCTAGTTTCATGAGATATATATAATACATGTCGTTCACCCATATTATAACAGTAGATTAGTAATAGCACGTGGCGGTATGACCATACCAATTAAATATGTACGTATGTGTGTACGTACCTGAAAGACCAGCAAGCATGCATTACCAGCAATGTGAACACTAGCACCTCTTCCATCAATGGCAGTGAAGCTAC